CCTGCCCACTGGTGGAGGCCTTGAATTTTGAACTGAAGAAAAGTTTATAAGTATTAGTTATTACGTTTTAGCACGTATGTATTATAAAGTACTTACTTGTCTATGTGGACAGCTTGATACGTTTGTTTTCCTCCCTAGCTTCTATGTTAAGCTTCCTTTTCTTCGACCTGTCTTGCCTTTGCTTTGCCTCTTCTGAAGACAATTTTTCCGCCAACCATTTGCCATTCTTCATAATTAGAAGACGTAGGATATACATTAGGTGTTGTCCTCTGTGTTCTTTACATTTTTCATCAGCAAGGAACCAGGGAAATACGTCTTTTATTTTTCTTACTATGACATTGAATGTTAATGTCCTGATTTGTTGTGTGTGGGGAAATGTTTCAAATATATTTTTATACCAAAAAATAATAAATTGGTATACGATGAACGTTTCTTGATTGGGGTTTACAAGATCCAGTTTATTATTTGGATTATAATTCTTTAGCTTGATAAATAGTTCGCTACGGCATTCGTCTGCAGTCGCCTTTGTCATAGCGGCGTGGCAATTTCGACATTTTATTTTATTTCTAATTGTTTTTAGGATGGTAAATCCAATCACGTAGCGCTCGGCCTGCATTTCCACCTGATTTGTCTCAACACTCTGGAATGTGTTTAGCATTGATAGCATCTCCGTTTCAATTTTATTCCTTTGTTCAGGTTGCATGGCAATGGGTTTCTCGGTAGTGCTGATTGACCAATCCAAGTACTTATCATCATCTGTTTCGCAATTTTTCACCGAGCTTCCGCGTGCGCTGTTTAAAAACTTCTGAGAGGTATAACGAGCACTGTAGTACCTTAATTCCCTTACTGAGGGGTGAGTGTTGTTCCCTTGTGCCCGGAATCTTGAGAAAGCGTTCTCCAATGCATCCTGACTAAGTTTTCCAAGGAGTATGTAGTCTACATCGTCACAGTCCTCGAATACTTGTTCAGCAATTAGAGACATACCCTTCATTGTCTGAACTATCCCATCGACACACCTTACTCCTCTGCTCTTAACGGTTAAGTTATTCAGGTATGCTATTGCTTGGTCGAAATACTCATTTTTCTCCGAACAGCCTCTACGCATTGGTTGATTATAGGGATTGGAAGAGGACCTGCTTTTAACATTCAGTTGGTCAAACATATCATTTAGGACTTGCAGGAAATCGCTGGTGGTCGCTGCTTCAGTCGGTATGTGACCATTTGATATCAATGTTATTATGGCTATTGATAATGTGCGACTAAAAATTTCCCAGATTGACAAATATATATGTCTCTCTGTTAACTTGGGATATAACTTAACATTGAAATTTTTTCTTATCATATTCATATACCACTTCGATGTACTTTTTCAATATAGCAATGCCATCAAACTCAAAGCTATTAGAAAACATATTGTTTCTCATTGACTTGAAAAGGTGAGGATAGTCCCAAAGAAAGGCGATTTTTTTCTCCTTGTACATAAAATAATGGGAGCTTTCATTGATACAAAAGAGGCTGTGTAGACGATGGTTGAAGCTGCCTTGATCACATACGATTCCCCTTATTTGCAAACCAATTCTCTGTAGTTCATCTATATTTTCATATAACAGAGTTTTAAGTGTTTCGCCCGTAACACGGCTGTTCAAAGCATAAAAACTGGTTACATATTTCCAATTGCTACAAAAGCCTTTGGCCATAAATACCAGAGCTTTTGACGCAATTTTTGACGTTCTTTGGCCACCTCCCAAATCTTCAAAGCCATCAATGGTGTCATCCGCTTTGTTATACTCCAATTCTTTTCTTATTTCAACTTCGTCAAATGCGATGATGACTTGCCGTTCACGCTTTGTGAATGTAGCCACCAATTTTTTTAAGTTATTGATAACATTGTTGTCAATGCCAACTTCAACACGTTTTATGGGGCGCCAGTTCATTAAACTCGAAGGATGTGGTAGATTCTGTCGCAATTTATTTTTCTCCGCTTCACAAATGCTTATATTTGTCACATGCTCCGTTCTTTCAATTTCCAGACAGTTTCGAAGTCTTTGAATTTCTGTGGTCAATTTTCTGTTGACCTGGATTGCCTCTTCCAATTTTTTAACTGCCTGGACATTTGTATGGCAACTACATGTGCATGGTGGTTCAGACGGTTCAGGATCCTCCTCCTTTACAATAGTTTTATATAGAATGCCTGCATTTCTTCGTTCATAGCACCGCAAAGGTACTTTAGTGCTTAAGATATTATTGACTGATTCAATCTCAGGTAAAACGATTTGGAAATCTTTGCTGTCAATCTCTGCTTTGTAATTCTCAACTTAGTGGGGAGACGTTCTAGTAATGCTGGAGCTGGTGGTTCTATGGAAATATATAATTTGAATTTATAAAATGCATATTACGGGGAAAAATTTTAAATTGTAGTATTTTTTTTTTGTTTCAGAGTTCAACTATTTTGTTTATCTGTAAATTAGCCGATTAAATTAATGTAGTCTCATATCTTTCCAGGCGAAATAACGACACTTGTATGCCAGAAACCACCCCCTCTGGGGCAAGGAGTCTTAAATTTTAAATTTTGTAAAAAAGTTGTCCAGGGTCTCAATTCTGTTTTCATGAAAATGTGAAATTTTATAAAGGAAAGAAGTGTTAAATGAAAAATTTTATAAAGGAAGTAGTTTTCATTTCATATTTTCATAGAACAAGAATCTTGCCCCAGGTGAATAGTTTTGAATTTCTTATGATTTACTTATTTTTTTATTTATTTTTAATTGCTATGATTGAAAATGGAAACAAAAAGGTTAAGTGAAAATAATAAATACAATTATAATATGTCAACAACAAATATATACAATTATATTTTTTTCCTCAATTCAAGAACGAAAAAATCATCTATTACTCAGCTGCAGGCACTAGCTGATTATATGGAGGAGAATCCTGAGTTCCCCAGAGGAGTGGCAATATTTTGAAGAAGACCATTGGAAAATGTCATTGGAAAATTTCTGCTGGTTGCTTCCTGTGGCCAAAATCCGCAAAAATGTGCCAATTTTTAAATCGGGCGTATTTGAGTTGTTCTGCAACCGTGGACCCATTTCTCTTCTTGTATATCCAAAAGAGCCCGAAAATTGTCGACAAACCTAGAAAAATACATTTTTTATTATTTCAAAAATGAAAAAAAAAATGTATGCTTACTTAAATGCCTCTGTGGTATATTTTGAAGCTCCTCTGCATCATCCATAAAATATAGGGCAACAGAAATATTTTTTAATTTTTTTTTAACACAAATAAATTGAACGCTATCATTGGTTAACTCGAATTGTTATTTTATTTGTTTATTTACAATTTGTTTGTTTACAACTGAACTGTCAGTTCAGACATCGCTAGCTGGCGTATGGTTGTAATCATGGTAGAAGAATATAGGTAGACGCGTCGACACAGCTGCTGAGACAATGAACTGTCAAACCAATTTTGGAATTGAAAATGTTAAATGAAAAATTAATACATTTGTAAAAATTGTTGAAAAACGCGAATTATAATAGCCTCCGAATGACGTAGTATAAGAAAACATATATAGAAATATGCTTATATTTGAGAAAACATTTAAATATTTTTTGACATATCAATGCTCCCAAGCATTGATGCATCTACATGTATTCTTGTGCCATGATGGTAATGTTTCGCGTTTAAATCTGTCATTTTGGCGCTTTTTGTTTAATTTCGTGATTATTTTTTCAAAGGTATATTTAGCAATACTGAGTCACGTAAGTCTATGCGAAAGAACGAACGAATGTTAGTGGAACGTAATCTGATACGAAAGTGAGTGACTAGCTTTCGTTCGCAAAAATTTTCTTTCGACATCATGGAACAAGCTGTTAGGGTCGAAATACATAAAGCGCATATTTGGCTGGCTTCTTCGTAGATGAACAAAGGAGTTTTAGGTTGACCTAGTTCGATTTTGGCCCTAGTCTCCTTTGTTCACTTCCGAAGAAGCCAGCCGATGACTGAAGCCAGCCAAATAAGCGCTTTATGTATTCCCAGCTTTAGCCTTTTCTCGCTATTAATTTTTGTAAAAAAATTAATAGAATAAATTAAAGAAATACTTTACGAATTTTACATTTAAAATATATACACCCTTTTTTTGTTAAAAAAAAGAACATTTTAAATTAAAATAATGTATTTTGACATCAAAAGATGTTTATTTTATAACTTTCATTGAAAAAGTAAGAAGAAAGGGATTGTTTTACAAAGAATCATATCGTACGAACGCGTTAATTCCTGCACTAAATTCAGAGAGCGAACAACGTAATGCAAATGCCAATGAGGACATGGTATAAGATTGGTGGTTTTGGTCTTTACTTACTTATATACGGTTTGTACAGTTGATGTACTATTTTTGTCAAAGGAAACACAGGGTGTTATACAATTAAGAGATTGTAAGGAAATAAAGTCCTCCTCAGATGTGTCTTCCAGCAATTTATTCACAGGGTTAGATATCCTGTATAACATTATTTTGAAAATTTACATAAGACAATTATATTGCGAATTTACTACTTAGAAACTCAATTTCTTTTATTTCAGACATTTTTGCTATGAATCGGAACTTACATTAGGGCCATAAACTATTTTTTTTTTTGTGTTTTGGAGTCACGAGTGAATTTTCGGAATTGTGGAAATCGTATTCGTTTAAAGAGAACAACTAATGATGCATGGTCAGAATATGGCAATGACATTTGGAGCATTAATACATTTTGGTATGTTGTTTAAAATACAAATTACTATTTATGATTAATAAATAAACATTGTTATTGTTATTAATGGAGTTAATAATCAAAAAATCAGTCAAACGGTGTGAACCCAACACGTAACCAATTTTCCTCAATAGCGCCATCTGTTTGCACATAGTAATCAATATCAACAACACCTCTCGATAACTAATGGCAAGCACATGTTATCGGCTAAGCAAAGCGATAACAGCTTACATATCGCTGCCATTGAAGCCAAATTAATATCGACCTAATCCAATCGCTAGAATAACGCAAAGGAAGGAAGATACGATTTAATTTCAATGAAAATTTTACAATTTTAACGTGCAAAAAACCAGAACGTAGTTGAAAGGACCTTTTCATTATCATTGTTAAGCGTTCGTTTTGTGAATATTTAGTGCAAAAATTTTAATAGAAATCTCTCATTCCCATAACAACAAAAAAGAATATCAATTTTCTTCGGTAAGGAAATCAATAAATAATGGCTGGCAAATTATGATTGAAGCCAGCCAGTCAGCCAACAGCACCAATGAATTGACCAAAAAGAAGATGAGAGATGTGAACGAAAAAAAAAAGATGAAAGAAAAAAAAATTACACGGTCGTCGTCACAGAAGAACGGTTTTTGTGTTTTGTAAAAAATTCCAAGTGTTGTGAATGAAACATGAAAATTACTCTCCTTGGTTCCTTTGTCAATCGAGCCAAATAAATAAATGAATGATAATGATGGCTAAATGCAAAAAAGAAAAAAAAACAAATTAAAGAAAAATTCCAATTTTCTTGTTTTTAGTTTTGTGTGTGTGTGTATGAAAAATATTAACTTAATAGTGTTTTTGTTGTTGCATGAATGAATGAAAGAAAAATGTTCAAGTGGAAAATTATAAAATAAACAAAAGAAATTTTCACTGGAAATGAGAAGCAATAAAAAAAACTTCCCCACCAGAATCAATTTGATTCTGTTGGTCTCTGCTTTTTTCTGCCTTTGCTTGCTTGAAATCTTGTTCAGTGGTCTGCGTTTGGGACTCTTCGTTGTTCGTTTCCCTAATTCTTGTTCTGTGTGCCTTTTATTGAATTTTATGCCGCATCCTCTTTTTGCCCTTCAATCATCCTCTTTTAACGGAAACTTTTTTGTTTGCCGCATTCAACCCCAAAATGCGATGGAAAAAACAAACACACCAACCAACATCGTCGGTAACAACAGCCGTAGCAGGAACGAAAAGACGAAACATGAAAAACAACAACATCAGCAATACGGCGTTTTTAATAAATGAAAATATCCATCCACCACCCCGCACACCCCGCCAAGAGCTCCAACAAAACTCAATGAAAATAAAACAGATTTGTTATTTTCTTGTTTGTGTTTCTTTGGCAGTTCGGCCGAGTGTGTTTGTGCGTGCAAGTGCATGTAAGTGCAAGCGAGCAAGCACTACATGGAGTGTGTAAATGAGATAGACTATAAAAGTTGTTTGGTTAGTTGGTGGTGTGGACAGAAGAAGAATAAGAAAACCCAACAACAACATCACATCAAAACACAAATTGAAGAGACGAGCGAAAAGAAAAAAAACAAAACACAAGCCAAACAGCAATAGCCGATTGTGGGAAACAAACAATAAAATAAAAGAAGAAAGAAATGTAAAAAAAATAAAAATATGTGAATAGGAAGCAAAGAAGGTGAGAAAAAATAACAATAATAAAACGCAGAGAAAGAAGAAAAAAACAGATTTTCCAAAACCAAACATAAGGGATGTTGGATAAAAATAAACCACGAAAATACAGGTGAAAGATAAAATGATAATAATGAGAAATAAATGTTATTTGCCGTATCAGAGTTGTAAAATTATGGTAGTAGACTACTAAATTGGTGTCCCATTGTAAAGTAATTATAATTTCGCGTTTCTTTGATTCGTTTTATTAATTGAAGGCAATTAAATATTGATTTACTGAGGCTTTGAGTGGAATTATGAGAAAATCAGTAGGCAATTAATGATTTTAATCAATTGAAATGTTTGAATTGTGTGAAGGTGGAATAATATCACATTTGTTGAACGATAAGTTGTATGTCACTCAATTTTTGTTTTTTTTTCTTTACTTTATAAATTTAAAAGTTTTGCAATTTTTGTTTCGCACGAAAACACACAAAAGTGCTATTATGATATCGAATCAGTTAAAAAATTCATCCTTAAAAATATCGTTTCAATTGATTGTCCCTTGAATGATTTGAACAAGTAATAAAATGTGGATGTTAATCAAACCATTTCGGAAGTTATAGCATTTACCTTTGGATCCATTATAAAAATAACACATTTTGAAAAGATTAGAGTTGGAAAGGGGTTTATAAAAAAGCAGGTTGAAAAGTTGACTATTTATCTACAACTCTCGACATTCTTGCCTTTAAAAACGGACTCAAATATCAGGCTACTCGGGTCAATTGGACCTGACAGTCCTGGGAACTGTTGTTGGAGAATCGGCAAAGTTGGAAGTCCATGTGTCGGCCGTACTGCTTTTTTCTATTTTCAGAAAAATTAAAAACAAAATTTTAAGATCTAAGCAGAATCGATTTATCCGGGTTCAAAACCTTTATAGGTTCTGGAAAGATAATAACATATATTGTAGTATTTTAGAAAGGATATAGTGGTATGTTGTTATGTATTTTGTGGACTCCATAAGGGGGCCATCTTCTCATGTATTCTCCTGTTGAATAGGTATTTCCGTAAACCTGTCGGGCTTTACTTGGAGTTTCGTGTCAAATTCTGGGATATCAAGATCCAAATACTTACCTCGAAAAAAATTCAAAAAATACGAGAGTTTTTAAAACTACAGTTTAGCCCTACTTTTATATAGACTGGATCGAGGTTAATGACCTGAGAATGACCAAATCCCGTTTCGATTAATCTGTGCATTTTGTGTATAGGAATAGGCAATGCGATGGTTCCTTCCGTTCCCTATTAACAATGATAGCGCGACTACTGTGTACTGGTGGTGTCTGGCACCATTTCTCAATCCAAAAATAAATTTGGTCTTATAGGTCAATTTTTTCTATCGGAAAATCAGGTCATTATAAGTTTCATACCACTACAAAAATATACCATATAATTCCATTCATAAATTTATCTCAGTTTTTCCTTCATTATAAAATCATTGCTACAATTGGAAGTTTTTCATCCCGTGTTTATAGGGGATACTTTATAGCCATTCAAATAAAATGTTATAAAAAAAATTCTTTTGAAGATAATGACAAAAAAATGTTAATTTTCCCCATTTATCTTCCTGTATAAGCAACAAATTTGTTTATTAAACATTCTTGTCCGAACAATTCCAACGTTTTCTAATTTACATCCTACAAATATTGAACGACAAATTGCAAAACCAATAGCATTTCATACAATTACTCCTTTTATTACTACCATAACATACAACTCTGACTTGTTGTCATTATTTCCCCCAAATGTCTACGAATTGCAACTCTGTAAAGATTGTGCAATTTTTGTTTATAAATGATAAAAGGAATGCACAAAACAAACAAGAAAACAAAGGAAACACCGAAATCAAAATCACGTAGAACAGCAGCCGTAGCAGCGAATAAAGGAACGAATGAACGAACGAAACGAACAAAAGGCACAAAAGGGACGAGCAGCAAGCAAATCCAGCCAACCAGCCAGTCAACCATCCATCCATTTTCACAAGAAAATTCATTCGTGTTTGTCAAAAACACTGACGTTTTTCCATGAATGTGTGTCCCGTGTATAAATTTTGAGGGAGCAAACGAATGTGTGTGTGCGTATTTTCTTCTTTTTTTTATTATTATTGTGTCCGTGTGCGAGTTTAGTGTGCGTGTGTGAGTGAGTGTGGAAAAAGGTGAACTGTGCATGAAAAACTATTACAAAAAAATAAAATGAAAATGAAGCAAAGGAAGAAAAATGCGTAGTAAAAAAATACAAGTCTCGGCTAAAATTTAATTCTTTTTCCTCCGTTTTCTTCGTTTAGAAAATGAATTAAAACGCCAACAAAAGCAAATCCACAGAAATTGCAAATAATTGAAAAAAAAACTTATTGTCGGTAATTGGTGGATGTATGGAAAACGACAACGACGACGACGAGGAATAAATGAATGAATGTGTGAATAAATGAAAACAATAATTAAGTCTGACGAAGACGACGACGACGTATAAAAATCACATACCACAAGCACCACATCAGGTCGGTCGGTCAGTCCAGTGTAGGGTTAATCCACCGAACCACCAAACATGGATGGCTCTAATAATACATCAGGAGGTCTATCTTCGCGCAGTCTTCCCTCGCTGTTCTCAATGAGCAATGGTTCCTCGATGGCTACCAAAGACTTGGAGGGTCTGATAGCCATGAATGACAGTGCTTTGTCTCAACAAATCGAATTTATACTACAGGATGCCCCCATGGAGGAGCATGATGACGACGATGATGATGACCACAGTGGCGGTGGTGGGGGCAACACAGGGGTCCATCACCGAATATTGTACCAACAGCAGCAGCAACATCAAGGCAGCAATGATCTAATGACCTCTGTAAAGGGTCAACAGCTCATGGACACAGAAAGTAATTCCGAAGGGGCCATATCAGTAGTTGGCACTGGACCTGCTAGTGTTATAAAACTTGAGACCCCACCGAACTCTACAACACCCATAACAAGCGCTTCCGATTTAAGTCAAACCAGTCAAGATGCCGCCGAACAATCCATGGTGAAGACTATCACACATCATCAACAGCAACAGCACATAACAACCACAGCGGTTAGACAGCAGCAGCATCATTTTCTAAATGGACGCGGCATTATTGTCAGATCTTCAGATATCCATGACTACAACTCCCTGCCTTTAGCAGCATCAGCGGCGGCTACAGTTCACGATGAGGAAGAGGAGGAGGATCCAGAATTGAACGATGAGAATTTACAAGATATCGAGGAAGAAGCCAAGGCAGCTGAGGCCGATGAAGAGCCACCTCTGTTAGATGGCAGCCAAATTAAAGTGGAACATATGGATGAAATGGTGGAGACAGTATCAGCACCTCGCCTAACCTATACCAGTGGTCCCACCACCGTTACCACCACAAATGCAGAAGGTCAACCCACCCAACTGGTGTTGCCTGCCGGCTCCATTGTTAGTACGACCACACGATCTGTTACCGTACCGGTATCCGAAGCTTTAGCTCATTTACAAAGACGTCCAGTATTCATAAGTAATGGCATGGCCAATGTGGGTGGCACAACTCTGGTAAGAATGCCAGCAATGTTGAGTCGCAACGGTTCCATGGCCGTATTGAATGTGGTTCAACAGCAGGTTGGTAGTGGTGGTCAGACCACCCAGTTGATTTTGCAAGCTTCACCGGTCTGCAGTGTGGCCAATTCTTCGAATAGTACACCGATGTTAGTGACCACCTCGCCCCAGGCATCTATATCAGGTGGCGAATTATCAGGGAACTCATCTCCAAGAACTACGGCAATCTCATCTAGCAACAGTAACAACAACAACAATTCGGCAGCAACAAGCCAAATTCTTTCGAATGCATTAGCGGGAAATTCACCCACAATAATGGCCATAAATACAAGTCCTAGCAACAATAATACAGCTACCATAGTAACAACACCAGCAGCATCAACACCAACCAGATCGCCACCAAGATCTTCATCGGGGCATAATAATAATAATAATGGCTCCAGTTCAGCCCAACAACATCCGGTGGCATCCACCTCAGCCCAGGCCCAACAACAGCAGCAGCAGCAACAACAGCAAATTGTTGCCACAAACTATAGCCGCAATACAGCATCAACATCGCCACCATCTTCCACATCGTCAGCCTCCCCACCCTCATCAACGTCCACACCATCCGGCACCATATACCAGTGCATGGAATGCGTTGAGAAATTCGATAACAAGGAACTCTATGAAATCCATCGTTCCGGACACGCGAACAACATGAAATGCGCCATCTGCAACATGGTTCTGAAATCCCTAAAGAACTATGAAAAACATTGTCTCCGCTGTAAGCCATACGAATGCCAGATATGTGGTCGTGTTGTACGTTTTCGTCCTAACTTCATAAAGCACATGCGCGTCCACACGGGCCAACAGTCGGAACGTCATAAATACAAATGCGAAGTGTGTCATAAGGAATTTATGAGCTTTGAATATTTCAAAGTCCACAAAAAGATTCACAATGAAAATGTCAATTTGACATGTGAAATATGTGGTAAACAATTTAGTGCGCTCGCCTCGCTGCGCGGTCATTCCAAGCTGCATTCAGGTGTTAAGCTACACAAGTAAGTATTGGGTGTTTTTTTTCTGTGCTTCTTTGTCTTAGTGGCTTATTTTGGTAATTGAAATGCAAACAACAAATGTGGTTTGAAAAGGGTGGCAGGAAAAAAGAAGCCTTCTAATGCTCTGGCTTTTTTTGAGGATTTGTTTGGATTCCATATTGACAAAGGATAATATGGAATAGGTTTGGCTTTTGTTAAACAATTTTTTAATGATTAAACCATTAAAAACTCTTTACGAGATGAAAACATTTCCAAATTTTTATAAAAAAAATATTTTCTTATCGGTCTGAAAATGTTTGACAGATCTGGGTAGCCAGTAAAAATATAGGAATTGCTGCCTTTTATCCACTTTAGGAGAAATATTCTGATCTTTGTAATATTTTTTCTTTTTATTGGTATATGAATTTTTGACAATTTAATTCAAAATTTGGAGGATAGGCCATAGAACAAAATGGGCTGAAAATGGTGAAGACGAACTGGGAGGTAGAGGTTCTAACAATGCGCATTGAAATCCTTTTGGAATCTATTCTATTGTAGATTCTAGGGATTCCATTGTAGAACTGAAGGGAGTGTTAGGAAATCCATTCCATACAAACAAGTTGAAGTGTCATATATTCCATTGTGGATGAGTTGAAGGTCTAGGGAGTATGTTTTGAAATGAATGGACAGAGGCAGATATCTTTATGGAGCAGCTTTAGAGCTCAGAATTTCCATAGGCCGAGATGAAAACATTGTAGGTGAGTTAGAGGCCAGAGCATATTTTTAGAAGATGAGGAGACCATAGTTCCGTATTGAAGACGAGCTGAGAACAATAGTTTTGACATCCTTTCTTTTTTTTTGCCGAGCTAAAAGAAGGAAGTGGATAGAGTCCTTTATATATTATAATGAAGCTTAAGCACCTGCGATGTTTTTGAAAAGAACTTAGATTGGAAATACATAAAGAGCACATTTGGCTCGCTTAAGTCATCGGCTGGCTTCTTCGTAGATGAACAAAGGAGTTTTAGGTTGACATAGTTCGATTTTGGCCCTAGGCTCCTTTGTTCATTTCCGAAGAAGCCAGCCGATGACTTATGCCAGCCAGATAAGCGCTTTATGTATTCCCACCTTTAGTGCCGCCAGAAGTTTCAGTGCAGACGATTTAAAGTGCCACGGATTCCAATGTGGATGAATTAAAGGTCCAGGGAGTTCAGTGGAGATGAGCTGAGTTTTAATAGGCGTAAATGAAGAAATCATAAAATAGGAGATGAGAATTCCATACAACTTGTGTGGACGAGCTGGGAGCTAGAGGTTCCAACAAAACAATGTGGAATCTTTATGGCCGGTCTGAAGGTTAGGAAGTATATAGAGTCAAACTGTCAGCCATGCATGACAGAACGTCATAGGGCTTGTTATAGCTAACTATGAATCTATTTTAGACGATCTGAGAAGCCATGGAGTCCATATTACTAGTTGAAAGGTCAGAAGTCCATTATATACTGTAGACCATCAAAAACACCGAGATTTTATTGTAGAAAAACTCAAGTGCCAGGAATCACATTGTGGATGTGTTGTCGGTTCAAGGAGTCTATTGAAGGCAAACTGCAGGACCAGGAAATTCATTGTATGAGTTTAAGGACCAATGAGACCATTAAAGTCGAACTGAAGGGTCACTGGTTCTATGTTAGACTTGTTCAAGAGTCACAGAGCCTATTTTAGATGAGCCTGGAAATCCAATGTAGACCCACCCAAGGGCCAGTAATATTACTTGTCTTAAAGGTCAGACATATAATTGTAGACGAACTGAATTGACAATTGTTTTATAGACGAGCTTAAAGGCTAGGTAGGATGTCCATTGGCGATATGCTATCAAAGGCGAGTACATTTTAGTCGAGTTAATAGCCAGGGTGGAGCCACGGCATATATTATCGACAAACTGAGAGGGACTATATGTATATACTGAGCAGACGGAGATCAAGGTTTCTTGTATAGGGACGAGCTGAAAAAGATTAAGTTACTCAGGGACGTGGAGCCTATATAAAGAAGTTGAAGGAAATGGAATTCATTTTAGACTTCTAAAATTAAGAAGAAGGAATATATCTCTCATTGAATTCTTATTTAGAAAAGGATAACCCTCTATGCATAAAGTACAGAATAAGTCCGACATAACCCATCATGGAATTTTTGTTTTAGGACAATCATATACCTCCACGGCAGTTTAATCATACTTCTTTCTAGAGATAAGTTCAGCTTTTCTTTTTCGACTTATTGTATATCTGAGAATGAAGATAAAGTTATCCTCTATGTTAATATATTAAAATATTCGCTTTTAAATTAAATTTTAAAATTCGAATGTTTTCTGATGTTTCAAGGTCAAAATTTCGAAACCGCATTTATTGTAAGGGTGCCTTTTTGCATTTTAAGCCAAAAGCCACTCAACTTTTATTTATACAATTAATTCATTAACAAACATTTTTTGTTTTTTTTTTTTCTTCTCTCTCTCCAAACCAACACAACAACTACAAAACGCCTCTTTCACAGATGTGAAGTTTGCGGTAAAGGCTTCGGTCAACGCTACAATCTGAAAATCCACGCTCGCACCCATACCGGTGATTTTCCATTCGAATGTAAAATTTGCAAAAAGAAATTGCACACCCAATCATCATTACAGACCCATATGCAAGTCCATCAACGTGTTCAGACGACGTCACAGGCCACGTCGACCATTAAATCGACAGCCACCAGTACCACAACCAGTGGTAATACCAGTTCGAGCAGTAGCGCCGACAGTGCACACAATTCCCCCACATCAACCATTGTCAAGATGGAACCACAATCGTCATCATCATCGGTTATAGATAATCATCCTAGCACAAGCAGTAATCTACTATTGAGCCAGCACTCATCATCAATGCACGACGATTTGGATGAGAATTCGGGACTGAGCGATGGTTTGAACAGTTTGAACGGCCATCAATATGTTAGCACCAGTAGTCTGAACAATACCATGATTACAGCCACCGGCGAAGAGTCTTCGGAGTCTTCGAATACATCTCAAGAATTGCGACAAACCAGGCAAATATTATTAAATGGCGGTACACCCACCCGGGCAATTGTGATCAATAATTATATGCAAAGTGATAAGGGTGTTGATACACTGCTGTCGCAGACGTCGCAACCCACACAGCGGATTCATGCTCAAGTTATACGTCAAAATAGTAGCGGTGGTGTTGGTGGTGGTAGCGGAGTTATTGGCGGCGGTAGTAGTAGTGGTGGTGGTGTTGGCGCCAGTAGCAGCAGTGCACTGCAACAGCAGTTGATGCGTAAGACACCCATAATACATTCAACGGGCGGTGTTACTTCCTTATCTGGTTCAGTATTTAATAGTTCAATACAGCAAAGGGGTAAGTTGAAAAAAAGAGAACATTGTTATCATCATTGTTACCATTGATCTTGTTGTGTGTGCCCTTTATGTTTTTGTAGACAATGTTGAAGGTTCTTCTTTATGTTTTTAAGTATAATGGAAGGATTAGGAAGGTTTATTGAGGGTAATTTTTGTGTTTCAAGTCTAATTATTTCTTGGAAAGCAATTAAGGGAGTAAGTTCTAAGAGTTTTACCCCCATGGGATTTATTTACTTTTTTTTTTGGGCACAAATTAGCTGAATTGTTTTCGTTGCAGCTCTTTTGTTGTTTTCTTTTATATTGCAATGACGGTCATCGTTTTTGTCATCGACCTCGTGCTTCTCTTTATTGTGGATCTGTCGTGGGAACGACCTGTATTACTGATACTTTAGATTCAATATCTGCAAGTGGAATATATAGTTTAAATTTTGGTCCAGAGAACAGCTAAATGAATTGTAGACGACATTTATGACCCAAGCGTATACACCCGAATTCAATGTCATTTATTTACTTTCAATACAAAGAAAGCACATGCGGCCAACTACACAGGTATTGGGAGATAATTTAAACATACCAGTAGCTTATCAATAAAAACACAGATATTATTGACTAGCATGAATTTCCAATATTGCGCAGATTCAATTTTTGTTTTTTTAGATTGTTTCGGTTTTCAATTGAATAGTCCGAAGAAACCTTATGACCACAGAGGGTACATGCCATTTGAAAAAGGGCGCCTATATCATTTTGCATGAAATCCGTTTCAGGAGATTTGATTATTTCTATCAAACTTAGATCGAGTTCGAAAATTGGCAAAATCGGCACACTGCTTCGAGTATCTACCCTACAAAAGGTCATCATTTCCAATAAAAAAAAAACTAACAAAGCCGGTTTTTGATTTTGTTCAAACGTTGCACATCTAAATAACTGAATTAGCCTTAGATAAGATGAAAAAATGACTGAAATATATTCTATTCCGGTACCTCAAGCATATAGAGTCAAAATGTAGAATAATTAGTTACGAACAATTCGAAATAATTAGGTGATTTCCCTTTCAACTTCGCACATCACAATATTTTCACCGACATGTAGCGTTAGTTCGTTCTGGAATCTTCTCCACAAATTGCCAGGAGATGCTTTAGCAAACCTATAGATAATGATGGGATCTACATCTAGCAAGAATGTTATCGTTTCAATCTTCTGCAGAGTCGAGTTCTCTACTATCCCATTTTGAAATCAGATATGTGATACTGTACTGGTCCGCAAATATGACTACAGCATTTCTCTTATATCAGAATAAAGAGAAAGAATATACCTTGTTATATCCTACAGCACAAGGTGGTCAGGATATTATGTCTTTGTGCATTTGTTTGTAACAGGCAAAAGGAAACGAGATAGACCCATAGTTCCTTTTGATGATCTGCATAGAATCACATTCTGAGTCGATTTATGCATGTCCGTTCGTCCGTGCGTCCATGTATTTTTGTAAACAAAGTACAGGTCGCATTTATTGCCCGATCCAGATGAAATTTTGCATAGATCATTTGTTTGGCCCAAGGACGAACCCTATTGAAAATGGAGATAATCGGTCAAAATTTAGATATAGCTCCCATATATATCTTCGTCCGATTTGCCTTTTATTGTGCACCAATCCTGTAATATCAGCCCGAATTGTATGGAATTTTGCATATACACCCAAATTAGGCCTGAAAATATGTATGCCAAATTTGATCGAAACCGGTTCAGATAAAGCTATAGCTCCCATATATATTGTTCATCCGATTTGTTATTTTTGTCCACCGCCGCCGTAATATGCACTCTACAACAACAATATTTTGGGAAATATATCAAATACAGCTCAGAAATACATTTGCTAAATTTTATCGAGATCGGTTCAGATTTGGATATAGCTCCCATATATAACTTCGTCCGATTTACCTTTTATTGTGCACCAAACGTCTAATATTTGTCCAAATGGGATGGAATTTGGCACTTACGACCGAATTGAGTCTAGAAGCTAGTATGTCAAATTTGGTGAAGATTGGTTCAGATATAGCTATAGCTCCCATATATATTGTTCATCCGATTTGTTGTATTTGTTACCCACAGCCGTAATATGCACTCCGTAACAACGATATTCAGGGAAATATATCAAATACAGCTCAGAAATATCTTTGCCAAATTTTATCGAGATCGGTTCAGATTTGGATATAGCACCCATATATATCTTTATCCGATTTCAAATTAATTGTGCACCAATTCCGAATTTAAAAGATACAAATGCTTCGGCATATTTAGTCCTTTGAACTTTAAATTATAATCATAGCGTGTATGATTGAATTCTCCCATAAAAACTTTTAATTGTTATGTGGAGCTCTACTAAATTAGCAAAGTGGTGTAGGGTATCATAAAGTCGGAACCGCCCGACTTTAAGACTTTCTTTACTGGTTTTTCTTCTCGAGATTGCCGACAAGAAGATCTTGCAATTGTTTTCCAAATTCCATCTCCGGTGTGCTTCGTCGGTAATTGTATTCTTGAAACAGCTGACATAATGACTTATCGGTGGTTTAACATTCTCAATAATCGGTAGACCAATCGTCTGTGAACCAACCCGTGCTAGATCATCAACCAATTCATTTCCCATTTTATTACTATGGCCTGGGACCTAATAAAAATAGGACTTTCTTGTAGTCAAGAATGACTCTCGGTTTTATAGCACTTGATTTTATCGGTTTAAGACCATCGGACCATCGGACATGTATAGTCTCTTCCATTAAGGAACTAAGTTCTCTATCATTTCCGCTTTATTCTTGAAAAAACGGTATCTTGGGATGGTCTGTGGACAAAACCAGATCGTTTCATTGATCACCAGAGGCCAAAGCAGGCGTAAGATGACATCTACCTGCGGTATGTTCCTGCAAATACTTTTGCTGATAGAACTCTCTCCCAACATTGAATAGATTATTCTGCATTTTAGAATCTTTTCAATCTATTCAATCGGGATAGAAGATCTACCAGAGGCTTAGAGAACATGGATCGACTCAAGTTTTACATTGTTTAAGATTCCCTCTATCGAGAAAATCTGTGCCAATGTAAAGTTGGGGTCTTCTCAATGTATTCCACAACTTTGTGTAAGCTGGGCTCCACTGACCCCAACCTCTGACATATGCGTGATGCGATGTATTACAATTTAAATTTGGACGAATTTTCAGGTTTAGTAATTTTTCTTAAGTCTATGGTATTCGGTATGTAGCTTTAGTCAATGTGTAACTAGGTTTCCCATGGTTGGGAATATAGGTCTCTGTTACCGCTTTGCACAGACTAGATACGAAGCAAAACCTGTAGCAAGCCCCAAAAATGTCCTGCAAGATAGCTAACACCGAATGTGATAGTTTTTCAACATCGAAAAATATTGTAATTTCCACAAACATCTGCAATAATCCTAAAAAGGAAATTTTGAGCGTGTAACAATTTATATTTCTCTATGTTAGCAGAAGCTGTAATTTCTATACCTGAATATACAATGGTTTTGTTAAGTTCGGTTCAAGGAGGCTTGGCATCCTTAATAAACAAGAAAATAAATTGTTATAATTCACCATGAGATATTATGAAGCCCTTTAATCTTCTGTTCTGTGCTGGTCTTGCGAGGAATGACAAATTTGTTCTCCAATAAACCTAAGTCTGTCCCCGAAGAATAGTGGCAATGGTCAATTGCCTATGTTATATATTCGAAAACTATCGTACTAATGTCGAAAGGAAGGACATCAAGAATTTAAAAAAAAAATAAATAAAAATATCGCAATGTTTTCTTAAATACCGTTATCCCCGATTTTAAAGAGTTTTTTATTTACAGCTATTTGTGGAGTCTCAATTCCACAGTTCTTGGGGACAAAATTTTCTTATAACAATTTCCCCCTCCTAGAATTCTCATGTATCGATGATCGCTTTTGTACATTCCCGGAACTTATAAATAATTATTTTGCCCGCTCTTATCAAAATCCGTTTTCGACGAAATGGCTTGCTATGTTTTAATAACAATCTTTCCTTCATGACTTTTAATAGTTCATTGCAATTGGTATTTTCCAATAAATTATACATACATAGATAGATAATAGGGATTTACCTTAAATGTTACAATTTGTTACGGATGTTGTTGTCTCCAAATGATAATGATTAATGAATAATGACATTTTCAGTTTTAATGTATTCGCTTGTCTCTGTCGCTGCGGCTGCAACATCAATGAACCTAGCTAGGTATTTACGAATACAACAAATATGTATATATTGTGCCTCCTCTATTTCAATGACACATCATTGGAATTGCAAATCATGTTTATCTCCAAAAAAAAAAAAAAAAAAACAAAAAAGAACAAAATGTTGATCAGCAGGGCAAAACAATATGTCCGTTTGCTACGTCTTCTTCTTTTTGATGTTATTTTGAAACGGATTTTAATTTCAAATTCATGAGACGAAACAAAAGACCAAACTATCTAAAATCTCAAGAAATGTGTGAAATTCTGTAGAAATACTTTTCTTTAAGGGAATAAACTGAGATAGGCATACATTTGTATATACATATATTATCCTAATATCGACCGTAAAGTAATTGTGTTTAGATCAATTTTCAGACATATTTGTTTCTATTTCAATTTTCTTCCTTCAATCATTGAAAATCTTCGAGATTTGAATTCTCATTTTTATTTCGACTTCATTGGGAAACGGGCTTATTGTATTTTAAAATATTCTCTGGAAAATGTAAAGTAAGAAGGAATGGTCGAATGTTTCAAATTAATATAAAATGTTGATACATTTTTTTTTTATAAAAATTAAAAGATTTTTAAAAAGGCAGAATTATTTCTAAGGATGGTGGAATATTTCCAATTGTAAAGTTGGTCCAGTTTTTATACCCTCCACCATAGTATGGAGGGTATATTAAGTTTGTAACACCTCGAAATATACATTTTAGACCCCACAAAGTATATAACTTCTTGATCAGCATAAAATTCTATGTCGAAATCACACTAGCTTCTGAACGAAATGAAGTATATTGATAAAACTTTACTCAAATGTATATTATGTCTGCAGGACTTTTGGTATTGAAAATGGGTCATGCAGCAGGTCCACGTTTTGGTATAGCCCCCATATAACGATACCTCCCGATATTCGGTATTTTGATGATTTTAGCGACATTATTCATCGGAATTGTTTCAAATTTGGTATTTGAAGATCCTGTTCTTAAATGATACTGTCTGTGTGCGCAGGTCCACATTTTGGTATAGCCCCCATATAATAGTACCTCCCTATATTGACGATTTTAGCTACATTATTCCCCGATTTTTTTTTCAAGTTTCGCATTTGAATATTGTAATGGCTTATGACAAATTTGCCTATGCAGGTCCACGTCGTCGTTTGGACCCTAACATGAAGGCTACAATTGGTATTTTTAAGATTTTAACAGAATTTTTATCGGATTTAATTTTTTGAAAATTGGCAAATTCGTTCCAAATGGTGGAGGTTATTCAAAGTTCGGCTCGGTCGAATTTACAGTTTTTTTTTTACTTTTGGTACCTCCTAAGTCAACCAATTCAGCTGTAATTTGGTATTTTGGGTCCTCTGTGATTTGTGTAATGCCTCGCACAAAGTATTGAAAATAGGTCCTCCCGAATTTCCCTCTCAACAAACGATTTCTAGTGATTTTAAAGATACTCGTTTTTACCAGATGTGCACTTTTCGCATCGACCTGACCGAACTTAACCTAGTTTTTACTTGTTTTATTTATTTACTATATCATTTCCACCTGGAAAGTTTTTTTTTTAAAGAATTAATTCACTCAACATTTTTTTCTTACAGGCTCGTCGCCCTCACCCTCGCCGTCATCATCGTCAACGTCATGTTCCTCTTCTGTTGTGGTCTCCAAATCGTCGGGTGTGCCCCTTTCGCTGGCATCGGCTGTCTTGGGTTCCTCATCGATAATACGCAGTACACGTGATCATGATCTCAACGGTCATCATCACCAGCACCAACAACAGCAAAACCAATCGCAACGTAATAACCACCGAAATCACCACCGGCGTCGTCATCTGGCCGATATGGATGATGACGATGATGATACGAATTTACATCATCCCACAAATGGACGTCATTTCGATGATGACGACGACGTTATGTTAGATGAGAAATCTTCCCCGTCCCTGGCAACGACTGCCATTAAAACCGAACCGAATTTCTATGTCTCGGGTGATAATTCAAATGAGATGCTTATCAAAGAGGAGGTCGTATTCCATGATGATTCTTCCAATCATTCGCCCCACTCACCGCCCGGTTCTAAATTTGGCATGTCAAATTTTGACAATGACCTTGATCATCATGTCGATTTGTCGCATGCCCTGCCCACATATGGTTATCTATTGGATCAGCACTCAATACCCGATACAATACCAGCTCAATTATATGCCGATGATGATGATTTTCGATTAGACCACAATTCCCTGGGTGCTTTGCACAACAACTCGTCGTCGACAAATGACGGTGATTACATCAAGAAGGAATGGAGCTATGGCACGGGTTCAAATTATACAATAAATGGCAAATTCGATGATGACAGCAATGCATTGTGCGATGCAGCAAATTTTATATACAATTGATTAACACCGACACCACCAACACCATCGCCGGTATTCATAGGTGATGGTTGATGATAAGGATGATAATCATTGACCCTCCTCCACCCCCCAAGCGGAATGTAGCAAACGATATCTCATCCAGCATTGTTGATATTATAAGGAAACCCAGACGAAAAAAAATCAAGCCAGGAAGAAAACAGAACATACAAGGCAAGTGCAGTGTAGTTGTAGTAGGTGATAATGATAATAATATATAATCATATGGTGATGATCAAGATAATGATAAACAAGAAAGAAGTGTAGCGAAAAACCGCTAGAAGAGAAATCACTTTCTTTCGGTTTTTTTTTTCAAAAGAAGAAGAGATTTAACAAAAACAAATATTTTACATTAAGCGCGAAATGAGGACGTAGACTAAACAAAGAATAACGTCGTCTCTTACACGCTGGATGTTTTAAGAAAAGCCCAACAAAATGCCAACAAATTTACTAAGTATTCTTTTTAATAATGATAACTGATAACAAAGAAAGAAAACAAAAACAAAATAAGCACATTATTTAAAACAAACATAAAAACAAATACATATATTTTAACAAAAAAAAACCCTAATCTAACATTTAACGTCATCGTAACAAAAACAAAAAAAAAAATTGAAAAAAAAAACAAAATTTTTAGACATAGGAAATTTGTTTAGAAACCCCTCCCCATGCCCGAATTTTATTTTTTTGTTTGTTTTTATTTAATTATTATTTTCTTACATTTATTAATTTTACTCCTCGCATTAAAGCAAACAAAGAAAAAAAGAAAACGCCACTCCAAAAAACAAACAAAATTAAATTTAACAATTTTACAAATACGCTTGAGAGACTTTCTTCTACTGGCAGCAGTAAGAAAGTAAACGAGAAGAAGATACAGAGGGAGTGAATTGTACATTAGTTTATTTTTAATTATAAATATTTGCAATTAATCAATTTTTTCCAATTCATTTTTTAACGTCTTGGATAATCATTTCAAAAAAGTAGTATTTAAGCTAGTTTGTTAGTTTTTCATTTTTTTTTATAATTTTCATTCTTACGTTTAGTTTTTGTGTGTATGTTTGTGTAACTATTTGTATTATCTGTGTATACATAATATTACGGCAAGAAAATGTATTTGTGTTATTTGATGTTAACAGAACTAAAAACAAAAAACAAAAAAAGAAGAAAACAATTCAGAAATAATTTCTTTAGTTATAAGCTTTTTAAATGTGCAAACTAAATTTAATTTTCAATAACAACAACAACAATCTCTTTTTTCTACAACAAAAAACTCTTTTGAATTCTCAAGAACAACAAAAATCTCTTTTTTCTATCCCCTCAACAACTCTCATTTTATAAGTTTCCCCTTTTTTCTTTTATTTTCGTGAGATGTTCGAAAATCCCTTCCAAAAGCTCTCTCTGTTGGAATATACTAGGTTTCTTTCAAGATTTTTCCTTTGAACTTCCTGAAACTGAAATATTTTTATGAATTGCTCTAGTATTTATCTATGGCGCCTAAAAGCATGCAACAGTTTTTGTGAACATGGAGTTGTAACTGCTACATTCCTGGCCAAACTTGATTATACGTGAACTTAAAAAGGTTTAGTGTTTTTCAGACTTGTTATTTTGGATTTATAATAGTAGATTTCGATAAAAGTTCCTTTTACATTTTTTCTTTCATTTTAGCCCACTCTGTTCAGTCAAAAATAATAAATTCAATCAAATAGATAAAATCGATACTGGAACGCTTTCCCCCTTCAGAATTTTATTGAATAATTGAGCCAAGCTTAGGAAGCCCGGCACAGAAATTGCCCTGAAACCCTTTACGTTGAGGTTTCACATAAATTACCATAAAAACTTGACATGTTATACCTTTCATTATAAGAATTTTTTATTTTGTATCTCAGTTAGTACCCCCTCGATATATGCATGTATTTTTGACCTGCCTACATTTTTTCGATTTATACAACCTGCCTCCATGTGCCGGGATCACATATTTGTGCTTACACAAACAATTAAAATTGGCCAATTTAAATGCATCACCTCTACTGAGAATTCTTTGGTGTAAAAATTTCTCTATGTTGAGATCCCGAAATGTCAAAATATTGGATAGAAACTATGAATGAAACATTATTGCTACTAAAAAAAGAAAATCAATGAAAGCAATTGTAATTTCTCAGAGTATATAAATCCTCCCTGAAGAAATTTTAAATATAGGCCTGGACACCAATTATCTTTCAATGAAAATGTAATATGAAATGTTTAATTTTTTTTTATTTCATATTTTCATAGAACAAGAATCCAGGCCTTGCTCTATAAAATGTGAAATGATTTTTTTTTTTAAGCAAAGAAATGTCAAGTGAGAAGCAAATATTTTCCATTTCATATTTTTATAGTACAAGAAGCTAATATCATAAATTCAAGGTTCGATTTTAAATTAGGTACTTTGAATTATCTTTAAATCAGAATTCAATGTTCAATATTGTTCAATATTGTTTCATATTTTAACATAACTTCCATGCAACCATACCGGCTGATTTTATAAGTTTTTAGGTCCTAGACACATTTTCCAGACGTAATGGTTATTAAGTTTCATAGCCATACTCTTGAGCTGAATGAGTTAACGAATTTGGTATTTTGAAACAGTAGAAGTAGGTAGAAGACCATGAGCATATTGTGGGCAGTATAACACTAAATTTTTTTTTGTCATTTCGAAGCCTTCCGATTTGGCTTTAATATTATTTTTTTTTTTTTTTTTGGGGAGAGTATATTTTCGAAATAACATGTCTTTGCTCCAATGGAAGTGTGGAGTTGCTGGCTTGGAAGTGTGGAGTTGAAGCAGCAAACGTTTTTTTTTTTTTTGAGGTCAAGGTTATCACACTTTAATGGCCTCATTTGACTTCGACTGTTCATGTCTTTCTAAGTATTTATACCACTTTTCGTATCTCGCTCCCAATTGACTTTCCACAGCAGGCTCACGATTTATTTTTGGTCTTTTTAATCTCACTACTGAAGCTTTTAGAATATATCCTGCAGGCATCCATGTTTCTATATGTAACGATACTTAAGTATCTTAGCATCGTAGGATGGTATTCTTTTAAAATATGCTACTAAAAATGCCATGTCATGATGCCAAGCTACTTATGCACCAATATCTTAAGTCTATGGGGACCAACAAGACCAATAGTCTTAAGATTGTACAGTCTTATACATTAAATTCTTACCATACCGTTTGGCATATCCTGCCCGGAAAAGTGGGAGGACAAGGCTGTTCGCAGTACTCAATAAAATTACAGTGTCATCTTGAAGCCAAACCCTGCATTCGATATCGAAAAAAAAATTCGATCGAAATGTTCATTTTAGATTGATAAAAATTTTATTTTTCGTAGATTCAGCTGAGCCACAAATTCGTTCTATGAAAATGTCAAATGAAAACTTTTAAAAAGAAATTTCAAATGAAAAATTTTATGAGGAAAATATTTTTCATTTCATTTTTTCATAGAACAGGAAACCAAGCCCTAGTGTTCAACTCTTAAGGTGAGGGTACATAAGCAGCTTGGCATCATGTCATATTAATGTCAAATTATAAAGGGAAGCAATGACAGAATTCGAATGTGGCTCTGGCGCATCCCTTTATGATATGTCACAAAATATGGCATGCAAAGACTTCAAGCTTTTTATGTACTTACACCTTTACATTCGATATTTAGCAGTTTCAGCCGAAACTTTCAATAAAATCAATCCACATTTCATTTCGATTGCAATTTTTTCTAAATCAAATGCAAGAATTTGTCCCCTGCACGGATGCAAAGGTCAACACGAAAGGGAGGGCTTGTTAAGTTTAAAATAACTAGCTCTAAAAATGTTTCCAGTATGATTTCCTTGATATTTGTTTTCGAAGTTTGAAGACAATTTTTATTGCAGAATATCAGAATTGTTTACTATATTCCAACCTAAAGAGAGTTCAATGCGATGTCTTTTACTATTTTTCCATTCTTGGTTTATCCCAGATTATTATTCTTATATTTTCTTTCTGGATTCCTAAACAAAAACACATTTTTTTCTCGTGTAAATATTAACAAATGTATGTGTGTATGTGCGTGTTAAACTATCTGTGTGTATGTATGTAAATGTCATAGTTATAAATCTTTTTTTGGTGTCCTTAAAAAAAAAAACAAAATTAAGAAAAAATGAAATAGAAATTTTTGGAATAAAACTACAAATATTTATATGTATATTGTTGCCCGATGAATGCATGTCGTTTTGAAAATAACCACGCGATCTATGTCATGAGAATCTTGTGAGTTGGATTGTCATTGCATGGATGGATATACCTAAATATTATCATTATCATCATCATCATCAAATCCATTGATGAGAATGATAATGTCCTTAGTAGAGTAGAACTATTGCTCTATGTGTGTGTATATGTAGTATATAAATATTAATAATATATTAAAACAAAATAAATTAGAATTTTAATAAAATGTAACAATCTTTTTTCTCTGTAATGTGTAAACTATATTAAAAACAATTAAATCTCATTGAAATTTGCTATTTTAGGCAATTGAATTTCAAAACTGAAACGAGAAGAAGAAAAAATATAAATTTCTTTTTAATTTTAAATATGAAAAGTAAATTAACATTTTTTGTATAGCAAGTAAATGATGAACAATTTTCAAATATCCCAGTGCAATATCTTTCCCTTCCCCCCCATTAACCATAACGTCGAGTAGAGATCTTTCCAACAGGGAGTGGACAGAAAGTTTTCCTTAACTACAAATTGTAGAGGAGATATTAATGTAAAACAAAACCGAGTGAAATGTGATTTAAAATAACCCAACGATTTTAATTTTTATTTTTTTTTTACCATTTTGTATATGAAAACTTGAAAAAGCGTAAAAACTGTGCATACACATTTCATAGGCAAGTGCAATAATTTCAAATCATTTCCCCATAAAAAACTTTAATTTTAATTTTTAAATTCTCATTGAAAAAATAAGGATTTCATTTGTAGAATTTTTGATGGATTCGTTTTTTTGTTACTTTACACCGCTGCAAATTCAGATATTTAAGGAGAGGGATATATTTCGGTCACGGTCATCTTTGACAAAAAGAAGACCATTTGTGATACCATTTTTAGCTCGTCCAGCGATGAACACCTCCTATAGATCATATATTGATATAGGTCTTCTATAGCTTTTTTACCACCATTCTATGGAGGGTATATAAACTTTGTCATTCCGTTTGTAATTCCTCGAAATATTCATAATAGACCCTACAAAAGTCCCTATATATATTCAGGATAAGCGTAAAATTCTAAGACGATCTGGCGATGTCCGTCTATCCGTCTGTTGTAATCACGCTATATTTCGAACGAATTGAGATAGAAGGCTAAAATTTTGTATACATGCATAGTTTACCAGTAGGTAGGTTAAGTTCGTAAATGGGCCATGTCGGTCCACGTTTTCGTATAGCCCCCATATAACGCTACCTTCCGATATTCGGTATTTTCATGATTTTAGCGATATTATTTACCGGAATTTTTTATAAATTTCGTATTTGAAGTTCGTAATGGGTGCAACAGCCTATAACAAAAATGTTTGTATACAGAACCAAGTCTTCGTATTGCCGCCATATAACGGTACCTCCCGATATTCGGTATTTTGATGATTTTAGCGAATTTATTCACCGGAATTTTTTCAAATTTGGTATTTAAAGTTCGTAATGGATACTACAGCCTACGGCAGAAAATTGTCTGTGCAGGTCTACCTCTTCGTAAAGCCCCCAAATAACGGTACCTTCCGATATTCGGTATTTTAATGATTTTACGGACATTTTTAACCAGAATTGTTTCAAATTTGATATTTGAAGTTTTTCGTAATGGATACTACAGCCTATGACAAAAATTTTCGTATGCAGACCACCAAATGATATAAGGCTTTTCAGAGCTTTTGTTGATAAAAAAACGGCCTTTAGCTGGTTTTGTACCGATGAAAGAATTTCTACAGCTCTTCTGTAAATGGAAGAAAATTTTCCTGCTTTCCATATGTCGATTGGAAAGAAAAACATAATTTTAAATACGCTCTTTTAATGCTTGATGCTTAAAGTCAATATTTTCAACAACACCTTAGATGCCCAAAAATTTGATATTTGATGTTGATCAAAAGATCATGGCTTCCAAAATTTGTGTAAGGCATTATTGGCTCCCAAATCCCTATCTGAGTCCATTTTAAGTAAAAAGTTCAAAAAAAAAAACATCGTTTATGTAGCCAACTTGTTTTGTTTGACCCAAGGATAAATGCCTTGAACCCCATGTAAAGTGCACTCTTGCCCAATTTCAAATGTTCCTTGAGATATGGAAATCAACAGGACAAATTAAGAAGTTCTCTAGAAATTAAATCCATCTTGCATTGTAGTGGTGTAAGTGTTGACAAGTTCCGTTCCATCAATTTGATTTTACTTATTTTTTATAATTTCAGTACATATTTAAAGTAAGCATTTGAAATTCTTTAAATTTTAACTTTACTTTAATTATCTCCCCATTATCCACAAGGCGACCCCTCCGATTGCAAATAAAACTAATAATCATTGCATTTAAATTCGTAAAATTAAAAAAAAATCTCATGTTAAATAATAACCACAATTGCTATATAGATTTATTATTAAATGTTTACATTAAATATTTAGCATGGTAGTAGTAATCATTTTAATCATTAAAACAATTATTATGTATTATAAAATAACAAAAAAAAAAAAAAAAAAAAAAAAACTAAACGCGTAACATTAACAAATAACTTTGCCTCTGTCATTCCTCTTAACATTAAAAACCCACAATGAAGCAACAAAAATTAGGCAAAGCACTTTTAAAATTAAAGAATACTTATATAGTATATTTAATTAATTTTATTCCTTGTTTTAATTTGTTTCATTTGAAAAAGTAAAAAAAGGAAAACAAAAAACAAACAGTAGTACAATTTGATTAGTAGTTTAAACCAAATGTAAACCGAAACCAACAATAATTAATCAATAATGTTGTTGATTTTTTTTAAACAATTCATATAAAAACAAAACAAAAACAAATATATATACTAAATATATAGAACAACAATTTAGTGAAATTTAACAAAATTTGTCGAAAAAACATAAGAATAAAATATGCAAAATTATTACAGTCATACATACATATACATTGAAATATTTAGTAAAAAACAAAATGGAATACACAACATTATAAATTGAAAATGAAATTCTATAAACAAATATATATTTACCCCATAATTATTAGTAGTCAAAAAAAAAAAAAAAACTTAGCCATTAAGCATTACAACATTAACATAACACAAAAAACAAAAGAAATATTTAGATTTTTAGCTCAGCATAATAGTATTTCATGTAAAGTTTTGTAATTTTATTTTAATTTTTGTTTTGTTGTATAGCTTTTTCATATTTCGCTTGTTTTTGTGTTTGTCCTGTCCTGACTTATTTCAACATTTGAACAGCGTGTGCTTAGATGGTTTCATATTATTCTTTTCACTATCAAATTTGGAGATATATTTGAAGTATTTTAATTTTTATTTTTCACATGTTTTTATAAATTCATTATTAACACCTCATTTTCGAAATCCATTATCAAATTTTAAAAAACAAGTTCCTTATTGTAGTCACTTTTTGAAAAAAAATGTGAGAAAAACATTCTAACGTAGATTGCAACATTTGTTTTTTTTTTAAGAAATTCTAATTCAATGTCACTACAGCCCAAAATGTCTACACAAGAAATTTCGAGGAACACTTTCCAAGGGAATTTTATTCTATTTTACAACACAAGATCACCAATTAATAGGCCTTTCATAGACCTCTGCAGATAAGAACGTCATGATGATCCAATTGATAAAACACCTTTTATGGTTCTTTTTTTATTAGAGGTGCTTCTATGTGCCTTCTAAGGATACACATCGAACGCAAGGCCTTTTGTAGATAAAATGTCTTTTCCAAATATCTGCCTTCTAAAGGACGACGTTTTAAAGTACGATAAATTCAATAGGTCATTGAACCTGTTGCTTGAAGACAAATAGAGAAAAATATGCGAAACTTCAGAAGATGGAGCGTAAAAGCTCATAGAAACCAAGACGCGTAAGCAATCCTGTGAAGGAAAAATTATATACATATACAGGATTATACAATATGCCAACTATCCTACCTTTCAGACAGAAAACTGATTTTTTATATCCATAATCTTATGGCGACAGACGGCGGCCTTATTGTGCCCCTTCAAAACAATGGACGAGCCCTGTCTTAGTGAAGCTAGGCATGTCTCTCTATCAGGTTAGTGCACCAAATAACTCTCGAAGGAATCATCCGATTCGGAGATAAGTTATATCACTCAATATTGCCTCGCTTAGGCTTATGGCTGCATCGTTGAAATAATGGTTTTAACCAATTTGCACGAAACCAGTTTCAAGATAATTTGAATCGATCTAGCCATGTCTATGTCTGCCTGGTAGGCCATAATTCTCGAAGTGAGTATTCGATTCGGAGATGGGCAATATGTAAAATGAGTGTTCGATTTCCTTCAAAACTTAGCACAACCTCATATAGTTTTGGGCCTATGTTGGAGCAAGTATGGAAATCGAATATAACGGCTCACTCGTTCTGGTTTCTATCCTACAAAAGTTCAAATGCTGCAATAAAATAAGAACTTACGTTGAGTGAAAGGGGCAGCCGATGCGCTCCAAGCTTGGCACATCGGAATATGAGGATAAAATTAAGATTTGGTGTCAAATTGGATAATATTACTCCACTACTTTTTGTACACACTCCCCACAAAACGCCAACAATTTTCAGTTGGTGATCAATGTCCCATATTCTCTTCTTTCTTGTTGTTATATTTTCTCTAATTTGGCTTCTAACTCCAAGTTAAAAAAGGAGGCGACCTGTATTGGTTGGGTAGATAGCGATACAGGAGCTAAGTGAGTAGCTAAACCTACTGCAGCGTGCCATGTGGGATGTCAATTCGGGCAAAATATGAATTGAGGCGGTTTCAATATCCTGATCTCAGGTGTGTCAAAACTGCTCTGGTTTTTCGTGACAGCTTTCGTTCTTTAGCTGCAATGGAAGTCGGTTGATTTCCGAGTATGGTAATCACTCTGTATTCTGCTATAACTGCCACATCAGAGTGAATACTAGAAGACGGAAAATCATAATGTCATATAAATCATATAAATCAAATTCTCAATGACATACAATGGTCCAAACTTGGTCAGTCTAATGTCAGGAGCGAACATGGATATATTGATTGGCCCATTGTCTCCACTTTCTACCCCCAAAAGGTCAACATTTTAATTTTCGATTCTCTTCTGCTTTATTTTCTTTCTAATTCCTTTCCGGCGAAAAGTTAAAGTTTTTAATAATCATTTAATTTTCGATTTTCTTCAAACTTCGCAGCCTTCAACATTAAATTTTACTTCTTCTAATACCATCCCGGTGAAGAGTCAAAGTTTTTAATAATCATTTACTTTCATAAAAATCAACATTATTACCCTGTTCCTTTTAAAAATCTGGAAAAAAATAGGCTGACATTAGATCTACTGACAAGTTGGGATATGTAAGTCCAACCTTCTCCCAAAAAGGTATACATTAATAAGTGGTCAAGTATTAAGGTATATATTTGTTCGAAACATCAACAGAAACTTTTTAACCTTTCAGCAAATGTCTGTTTTCAGGACTAAGCTATGCTCATACATGATGACCAAATTTGTTGGCTTTTTAAAATGTGACATTCCATAAAAATTTTCAAATTGCTGAAAAAAAAACGGAGTATTGACCATTATAATCGAATTTTAAATCAGAGTTTTCGACTCTACACCGTCTAATTTGCTTGTCTTGCCAAACGACCACATCAATAGTAGATCTACAGTATAGAACGATTTTGGATTTAAGAATTAAAAGTTGATAACATTGAGCAAAATCTACCATTTCACATGGCATTTCAAACGCGGCCAATAAATTGAAAATTTCTATATGGAACACATCGGAATGACATCTTCAAGAAAAACAAACACTTCTTTACTTCTTCAATCAAACGCCATCAGACGTTTTTCTTTCTATGGAAACTCCAAAGGTATCCATACACATTTATTTAAGCTCCTAAAAGTATGCTATTGAAAAAGATCTTTAGATCTTATATAAGTTAAAGTTTGCCAAAAAAAAAAAGGAGTTTTAAGGGAAAGAAGGAAGTTAAATTAGGACACTTTTTCTTCGCCCTCAAAAAAAAAAACTTCCTTTTCTTTGGGACAAACTTTAAAAAGGGATTAATTGATGGACTAAAAAGGAACTAAAAAATGTTAAAGTTTTGGCGGTTTTTTTTTTTCAAATTCCAAAAGTGGAAGTGATCGATCGACTCATATTATCTGAAAAAAAAATATGTTTTTATTCTATGACTTGGTAGGTCACTTTATCAAAATCATGAAATAACGAAAATTTTAAGAGAATCATTTTTTTCAATTTTTGGCTAATATTTCTACAGTAGTGGTCAATAAACAGATTTTCCTACAAAGTAAAAGTTTGGTTACTTTTTTTAAATTGAATTGGAAATAAAATCTCATACTTCTATTAGCTCTAAAAATCAGAAATATTGATTTTGTTATAGCTAGGGAGTGTTCCTATTTGCAAGAGACTCTTCGCTTCAATTTATTTATTTTTTTTCAATTTTTGGCTAATATTTCTATAGTAGGGGTCCATACAACAGGTTTTCCTACAAAGTAAAAATTTGGTTATTTTTTTAAATTGAATTTGAAATAAAATCTCATTCTTCTATTAGCTCTAAAAATCAGAAATCTTGATTTTGTTATAGCTTAGGGAGTGTTCCTATTTGCAAGAGACTCTTCGCTTCAATTTATTTTGGATATGGGAGTCATAAACGCGAAACTTCTCATTACTTGTTCAAGTCAATGCCAACAAAAGTATAATGGAAAGTAAAGCCTAATTCAAGTGTGGCTCAGTCAGACCGTTTCTTATTCTTATGAAAAAAAATGCATTGCTGTTTATGGGTCTCCTTCGTTATCGGTTTAAATTAGACATTTTTGCAAATTGTTTTGCAATAAGGAAATCAAATTTTTTTTAGGCTCTAACTCTTGATAATAAAAAGCTCCAAAAAATCCAATAAGAATTCACTGATTATTTTCACAATATATTTTATTTTTTATTATTATTTTGTACATTTTTCCCACATTAATTTAGCTTTGTATTGTACCTTTTTTTTGTTTTATTTTCTGCGAATTTCCATCATTCATCTGGCAACAATATAACTACTTAAACTCTTATTAAAACCCCACCCCGTATGTTTTTTTTTTAATGGAGACCAAAAAAAGGATTATAACCTTAAAATTCCTTCACCCAACTAATATACTTACAAGAATGACAACAACAATAAAAACTAAGAGTGAAGAAAAAAGGAAATAGTTTTATTAACAAAAAAGATAACATACGCACAGTTAAATGAAAAAAAAAATTGAAATAATTTTTTACAATAACAATGGGCTGCTAAAATATATATGTTTTAAAATTTTTATTATTTTTTCGTTTAATTCTTTTTTTTTTTTTTGGATATTGTAAGCAAAAAAAACAAACAACAAAAAATCTCTCCATATCTTGTATTTTTTTATAAATATTTTTTGTATACTAAACGAAATGAAACAAAATAACTGTGAAATTTTCTTTTCTATATATATATATATATTTTTTTTTTTAATTTTCAAATTTATACAATTTTTTTTTTAATTTTTTCTATTTTTTTTTTCTACAGAAAAATATTTTACTCTATTTTCTTATTTTATACCAAAGATACGAATTATATTCGTAGTAAAAAATGTAATTGTTTAAGTGAACAAAAAACAAAAAAAAATATTTAATAAACAACAATAAAAAAGAACTGTTTTATTTATTAGTTTTTATTTTCATTTAAGTTTAGTTTTACTCATAATTTAAACACACAAATCAAAATTTAATTTTTTTATATAAATTTATTATAAATGTATTTTAAGGTTTTTTTCTTTGATTTTTTAAGTTATCCTAAGTTCTAGATTTTGGAATTAGTTTTTTTTTTAATTTTTTTTTCAATTCTATAAAACTTGTATTAAATTTGTAAAACAATTGTGATTCTACACTATTTCTTATTACAAAAATAAAAAAACAAACACAAAGAAAATAAAATAAATAATCATGCAAAAGAAGAAGAAGAAGAAGAAAATATGAGACGACTGCGCACATGATATGAACAAATTTAAGAACCAACTTATTATTAACAAACAAATACATTTAATTTACACATTTTTTTGTCTCTTAACAAACTCGAATTGCACAATAATCTTCTATAATATACATAAAAAGTACATATTTTAAAATTAAATTCTATATATAGAAAATACAATTTAAAAAACAAAAACAAGTTCAAAAGGCCCCCCCCCTTTCATTTTCCCTTGTGTAAAATAAAATCATCTCTATATAAATATCAACAACAAAAGAAAATTATCTTCATATATTATTTTTGTCTTATACATTATATAATTATACTATACATATAACATTTATTGCTATTATAATTTTTTTTACCTTATAGTTCTACTGTTTATATACAAATATATGTTTACTTTAATTTTAAATATTTTTTCTACAATATTTATAACGAATTTTTTTTTTATTTATTTTATACTAAACTTTTAATACTACAACAAAAAAATATATATACATACATAAACATAAAAAAAAAAACAAAATCCAACAAAGCAAACAAAATATCATTGCTAAATCTCTATACAAAACAAACCACAGCAACAGTAATAAAAAAAGAATCAATATAATTTTAATTTATATATAAAAAACAACAAAATCATATTGTATTTAAAACAAAATTATATTTCTATAAATGTGTAACTATAAAGAAAAAAATAAAAAAAAATACATAAAAACACAATAAACGTATTTTCAAAAAACAAAAAACGGAACAGCAAATATTATTTTATTTATTTATTTTTTTTTTAATGTTAATGCTTTTAATTGCAGTGTATATTAAACCAT